CCTAGGCAGCAATCTAAGCGTTTGGAACAAATCAAATGGATGGTGGTGGGGTTTTATTCAGACTGAGAAAATATAAGTTACTGGTAGGATGAGAAGGAGCTTTAGATATTTAAGACTCACTGTCAACATAATGTCCCACTCACAAAAATCAAATAGAAAACTGGCAATATAATAAAAAGATTGAGTTAGAAATGCAGTGTTTCCATCAGAAATGTGTGGTCTGTGATTTAATGTATTAACTCACATGGTGGGCTTGTTCCTGCGGGGTCCTCCGTACGGTGTGAAGGGAAGACTCCCAGTGGCAGCGTGGTAAAATGTCACACCAATACTCCACAGGTCTACGCTCACACCATAGGACTTCTGTTGAGGCTTACGCAGCACAGCACGTTCATACATGTCTGGATGCTACACACACACACAAACACACACACACACACACACACACACACACATGCAGGGTAAGAAGAGAGGATACAAGCAAGTCATATGTTGATATGAGTTTATTTTGAGATGTGTTTAAGAGTCAAGTTAATGCAGTGTTCTGCCTTAACATGTATTCTATCCACAATTTAGTAGCAGGCACAAACAAGTGTATCAGTGCTTTTATGAATGGTCTTACACCCATGTGTCCACTAGAGGGACACCAAGTCTTGAAAATAAAAGTTTTTTTTGTTGTATCAAATTCTGAGATCATTATAAAACAGTCACTATCAAACGTTATTGACACAGGGTGATTTTCACATGAGGGGATTGAAATGCGATGGTGGAGATCGTAACAAAACACTTATCAAATACAACACATAGATATTCAGGTCAGTGTTAAGAGGGTAAGCCATCATCATATGGAACAATTGGGCTATTTTTAGCAGTAAAAGTAAATATGATTTTGCATCCTTGATTTTGAAAATGGATACTGCAAAGAAATGAATTACTAACTATATACTGTACTATACTATTACTACAGCAGTTAAAAGAGATGCCGTTTCTGCAACCAAACTGCACTGATTGATCTTCATACATATATGTGTTTATATGAATACAGTCTATAGATAGATGCAATAATCTTGTAACTGACCTATAACAGAGTGCAGCGAGCTGACTTATCCCATTGATACAAAAGTATTTATTATTTCATCACATTTGATCAATTCACTTCTTTATCCAGGGCTTTAGCTGAGCAGGAATGAACTTCCTCAGCAACGCCCCCCTCCACTGAGGCAGTAAAACACATTTCTGTTAATAACGTCCCCCCAACTCTTAAAGGCAAAAGCAGTGAAATATGAGTGAATCTAATGATATAAGGGAACTCTGAACAACACATGGTGGAGACAAATCTCCATAACAGAACTGCTACGACATCAAACAGGTTTATGAAAATGTCTTGTGGGCTGTTCAGGGTATAGGAAAAACAATCTTCAAAGCATTTTGGTTTTCTTGATCTGAGACTTAAAAGGCCAACATTTAGGTCAAACGATTTTCCCACATTCTGAAAATACCTTTTTAACTACTATTTATATCGTCATGGCAATTCATCTTTACTATCTGTACATTTGATATTTGGGTGAATCAAACGTTTTTTATTCTAGGCATTGTGCGGCATAGACGAATGCATGAGCTCATCTAGTCTATTTCAAAGTAATGACGATTATTACCAGATAGCACTTAACATAGGATATATGTTTGTTGTTATATGTTTATAATGTGACTGTCATCTTACCAGATACTCTTCAGTCCCGTAAATAGACACAAACTTCTCATCATCTTCCAGCTCTCTTGCTGCTCCAAAGTCAGTTAGCTTGTAAATCGACTTGCCGTCCTCCGCAACCTGCCGCATGATGTTGCCCGGCTTAATGTCTCGGTGTACCACTAACTTTTCCCGCAGGTGGTTCATCCCCTGCACTGCGGAAAGGAAAGGGAGGAATACTTCAGCTTAAATGTATGAAATTATTGGGAAACACAAAGATGTATACCCACCTACACACTGCAAAACTGTGAGGAACTCTGCTTCAGGCAGGCCAAAGGCGTTTTCTGACTCCTCGAGCAGGCTGAGCAGACTTCCTCCTGAACAATACTCCATCACCAGCACCTTCTGTTTAGAGGGCAGCTGGAGAAAGAGATAGACAAACAGACAGAGAGAGAGAGGCAGAGAGAGAAGAGTGCTTTCCTTTAAGATTGTACATATTAGGGAAACTTAAGTTACCAGAGGTACTAAATGCTTTCCTATCCCATGTTCCAATTTAATTTGGAACAAAACCGAAGCCTTGGATGTTTTTTCTTTTGTCTTTCCTCCACACAGTAGCCTTACCTCTTCCACAGCAAATAGCCTGACAATATTGCTGTGGTTGAGCTTCCTCAGCATCTCAAACTCTCTCATCTGGACCTCATGGGGACGGTTGTAGCTCACCATGTTAAACACCTTGACAGCCACCAGCTCACCCGATTTCTGCACACACACACACACAGTCCTGTTAACATCAGTTTAACATGTCACAACACCATAAAAGACCAGCAAAGACATCAGCACAGCACTGCAACCACAACCTTTTCTTATCGCACATCCTGGTGACGCTTTTTAGGCCAACAAGTAGGCTGAAACATCAGAGATGTTGGCAGCAGTGATGTGAATGAGCTGCTCAGGGGGAAAACAACTTGACAGTGTAGGTTAGGATCATAAAAAAGCATTCATAGCGTGTGGCTACCTTGTTGCGTGCCTTGAAGACACTGGCAGTAGCTCCTTGGCCAAGGACATCCTGTAAAGACCACAGGTAGTTTGGTGTACTGGCCGTCATCCCCGACATGCTGGGGGTATGAGGCAGAGACAGTGTCTTTTTAATATAAACAGAGACAAGACCTGATTGTCTTTGCATTCTTAGGGAGATAAAACCCTTAAAATGTGTTATTAATATACAGAACTAAGTATACATACGATCTGTTAATAAGCTAAGTGAGTAAGCATAACAATACATTGTCAAATAAATCCATATTCCTCACCAAATATAGATATTAACAGGTAACCAATGGTGGAGGAAGTATTCAGGTAACACCAAACTTTACAAATATTATGCTATCTAAAAGTCAAGCATTTCAAATCTAACAGAGACAAGCCTTCATTGTATACGAAAAGTTAATCAGTGGGGGAGGAAGTATTCAGTAATACCATACTTCCAGTTAAAGACTAACTTAGCATGAATTAGCATCAGAATACACATTAAAAAGTAAAAGTAGCCTACTGAATAATGCAGAAGTTAATATATTGTTTATAAATACTGAACTATAGTACAAGTACCTTAACGTTGTATTAAAGTACTTTGATACATGTAAATTACATTTCTCTGCAGTTTACTTCATTTAGTTGCATTATGCTCTGATTACTTTTGTTAGCTAATTTAACCGAAAGCCAGCCTACGTTGGTTGTCTGTGTATTTAACAACAATTCAGTAATAACTAAATTATTTGGGAATTACGTATATGCTGGTAAGAATTAAGCAGTTCAGTAAACTATTGTGCAAGTTAATTTATAAAAGTTAGCAGCATTGTTAGCTTACCTGGACAGCTGCAGTTGACTGTACTTTAATCCGACCTGAAATCTGTGAAAACTGAGTCGCTGATTTCATCTACCAGCAAACCCTGTCCGTGAAATGTAGCGTCAAAACAATTGTCAGTCTTGTAAATATCAGCTCAAACTGGTTCGTGAAAGTACGGTAAATCCAATTTTCTTGACAAACGAAACACGCCTTCTTGTGAAACTTCTTCCGTAATGTGACACAGCTGCTGTCTAAGCAGGTACAGTTTAGACCAGCTGCACGAGAGTTTCCTGTTGTTTCCTTCTTACGTGGATCCAAAGATTTCATGAGATCCTTCAAAGTCTGGCAGCCTTTGTGATTGATTTAGGAAGTGTAGACTTCACACCGGATATGTCTATTCATAAATTGTGGCGGATATACATGGCAGACTTGACAGTTTCGCTCTCTATGCCTGACCTTCGGTCTGTGACAGTCAATGAGAGATTATATTGAGTAAAATGCTTTTTTTTTTTAAAACACTCTCTGTGGGTTATTATTAGGCGTAGGCCTATACAATAATTGTTTCCTCAACTTGTGACAATGTTTTTTCCCGAAAAAAGAGAGACGACAGAGCAGCATGGAGCTCCCTTAGATACATGATGTAAACATTCATATTAAAGGGAAACATCGGAATTTCCACCGTGCTATTTCCAATTATCTGCGGAAGTGGGAAGTAGCCTACATTTACTCAAGTAGCCTACTGTGCTTAAGTACTATTTTGAGATACTTACCTTACTTGACTATTTACATTTAAGTTACTTTTGTAATTATACTCTATTTAGACCCTCCAGAAAAACGCGATTCTGCGATCGCAGAATTTACCGCATAATCAGCACTGCCAAGGCACACNATTTAGCATATTTCGCAACTTTCCGCATATTTCGCAACTTCCCGCAATTTCACCGCATAAAATCACATAAAAACCCCGCATGTTTAATCGCATAATCAAGGATTTTAGCCCGCATAATCAAGGAATTTAGCCCGCATAATCAAGGATTTTTGCCCGCGTTTTTCTGGAGGGTCTATCTATTACAATTCAGAGGTAAATCATGTATCTTTACTCCACTATATTTATTTAATACCTTTAGTTACTTTACAGATTGGGATTAATGATGTGAAATATAATTAACACTTAAATTACACCTGGAGTACATTCTCAAAATACCCTGCAGTATACAAAGTCATTAAAACGCACATTTATCAGCTTTGATAAACACATTAAGGCAGCAATAAGTTAATATTGTTAATTACAGTTAGTACAATAACAATGTAGATGAATGTTATTTGGTTTGGTGTATGACCAACCTTTTCCATGTTCACTGTGTTGTCAGGTACTGCAGTACTACTGTACAGTATGTGACTGTTTGTTCGTTAGAGGGGAATTCCACCAAGTTCAGCTACTTTATTAATGTTTTTAATGGAAGATTTTCTGAAATGAAACGTGTCATAGGTTCTTTATTGTTACAGACATCAAATAATTCAAAGCTCTTTATAGCAAGCAATGTTTATTAAAAAACAGATCTACTACAAGAACTACACATAGAATTATATAAGGCCTATTTGATTAAACTACTATTGCTATTACTGTACAATATTGTACCAAAAAAGAGTGTACCTCTGTAATGTACAACATTGTATATACAAAGTACATCTGAACACAGGATTCTCCAGTAATACAGAGACAACTATAAATAGATTTGACATTACAGTCATTTTTTTAGTTCTGCTGTTTTCAAATGAACACAAAAATGCATATTTAACAATATTCAATTCTGACAAATCATCCCCACACAGTTAGTCCACACGCAAGCCAAGTTGTTCAAGTGCACCAAGATTGATTTAAGATCGAAGAGGGTCCCAGCTCCCCGTAACGGCACAGCCAGGACAAAACAAACCAACCAACCATGCATATCTGTATGTGTGAGAGTGTGTGTGCTGGTAGGGCAAACACACAGTCACAGTCCCTCCAGTTGTTCTGATGAGGTAAGAGCAACACAAATACACCAGGTATTACACGAACAGTAAACAGATATAAAAAATAAACCTTAACAAGTATAATTCATTACCTGGTAGAGGGGGAATGGGCGTGATAGAGGGGAATATGTGGAAGCCTCTGTAAAATGAGCTCAATACTGTTTCAAAAACAGGTCTTATGTTTAGCCATTTGTCCAAGTCAGTGTTTACAAAAGTATTCATGTATTCTTTAATTCATCATCAGATCTAATTTGGCAAAGGGTACAATTGAGCAGATAATATATTTATTTAAAAAAAAGATTTAATTCTTGGATTCTGATGTTCTTGTCCTGATTCCTCCAGGCAAGACAACATATTTTTCTCTAAACACATGTACATAGTGATTATTTTTTAAGGACTAAGGCTGCTTGTACTCCATAATATGGGAGAGGCATTTTCAAACAGATGCTGTTGGGAGGCATCCGTATTTAATGTGTGAGGCAAGGGGTGGGGGATGAGGTGCATACATACTAATACACATCCACGCATGCTCACACAGGCACACACCCAGACAGATACACAGTTCAACATTTTTTTTTTCATTACAGATTCTGAGCATTAATTAACAACTGGGAACAAAAAGTAATAACAAAACATTTTTGCTTAAGAGCCCATTGGATGAGGTGGTTGGTTGTGCTTCTATCTCAAAACACACTCAAGAGGATCCTCAGCTCCATGCTTCCAGTTATCATCAAGATTAATTAAAACATACATACACACCATTAGAATAATATAACCCTTTTTACTGTTAAGTATATAGTTAAAGGAGCAAGCTGTGTTTGTTTGAAGTCGTCCCGTGGCTGGTACTGGTATAGATATATAAGCTGCCAGCTCGCCATAGTGGCTGCCCTCTATGGCCCCAGCATGCAAGGAAAACCTGAAAGGTTTTTTTAGCTGCCACAAAACACCAACACACACACATTTGGAGGGAATGTGTGTGTATGTGTACAGTCCAACATTATCTATAAAAATGCTGTGTTTCAGTGGTCCCCTACACACATAATAGAGCTGCAGGAGAGAAGCAGCGTAATGCCTCAAACTACCAGCTTTTATCATCTGTATTGCTATATGTGTATTTAGAATTACTAGTGGCCATGTTAGGCTTTGGAGATCACTGCTCCTGTTGTGACGAGTACTGAACAGTAATACAAAATAAAAAATAAAAATCACCAACATATCAAACACTTGAGGAAGAGATCAAATAAAGCCCTGGATCACATGACTTACACTGATATTTGGCCCAGTTTTCTTTCCTTTCATCATCTCAAAAGACCACCTTCATCTCCAGTCTTCCACTCCTGAAGCAGCAGGTCAGTGTGTTTGATTTCTACACAGAGCGAGAGCTTAGCATTTCACAGTCTATTCTCCGGAATCAAACGTTCCCTTCCAGTCCGTTAGTCATGGGTCAATAAAATGAAAAGAAAAAAATGTCTACTATACAAAAATCAAACAGTGCTTTTTGTTCCTCACTTGATCTGTGTGTAAAGGCAAGTAACACTCCTGCACGCCCACTCAAACACAATTTTCAAACATCACAAACTAGTGTATGTAATCTGTAGGTGTCCGTCCTGAGTCCTGTTCCCCTAATGTTTTAAATCGAGTAATGCCTGGGATCTCTGCGATGGCAAAAGAAACAGAAGTGTCTTTTTGTTCTCTCGTATTAACACCCTCTGATAGTTGAACTGCAATAAGCAGAGCTGCCAGGAAAGGGCTGAAAAAACTCTTGACATCCAAAGGGAACAAGGCGTCTTAGAAAGTCGCCTGGACACCAGGAAGTGAATGCTACACATGAGTAGTGGGTTAGGTCTTGTGTAAATCAAATGAAGTGCTTTCTGCATCTGCTTGTAGAAGAGCTGTAAGAAATCTAAGAGTTTGTGAGAATCATTATCGTGGGTCAGATTGGGAAGTCCTAAACCGGGCAGGATTTGTCATTAGACTGGGGTGAGGGTGGAGGAGGAGGGGTGTGAGGGAGCGAGTGGCTTGTAAGTGGAGGAGGAGGAGTAGGGGGCACAGTGGAGGTCGGGGAACCCATGGCTGGACTGCCGCTCCCATTCTTTGGGAACACCACCGGCTTGGGCCTCGTTGCTGGGGGGCGCAGCTCTCTGAAGGAAGGTACAGATGAGGAGAGGGAGGAAGAGGAGAGAGAGGGGGAGGTGGTGGAGGGCAGGGGGCTCCGCGGCTGGCTCTTGGCCGGGCGGAAGGAGGAGGGCACGTCGCTGGCCGAGGAGGCGCTGCGCTGGAGCGGGTGTGAATGTGAGGAAGCCCCCTCGCTGTCCCGTAGCAGACGGGAGTGGAGAGGACTGGAGGGCTCCGAGGCTCCTCCCCCTCCTCCTCCTCCACACACACCTTTCAGCTGCTCCAGTGTGTCCAGCACCACGTCCGGGGTGTGTGTGTGTTTCGATGTGCTCTGCCTCTCCAATTTACTGAGCTCACTCAGCGCAGAGGTCATCGTAGCCTCAATGTCCTGAGAGAGAGAGAGAGAGGAAAATACTTATTATCTTGTGCATTCAAACACCCAAAGTGGCAGTTGTGGATGAAGGTGATCTGAAGCGGTACCTGTGAGCTGTGCTCCACCTGGGAGAACACCTCAGGGTCCAGCGGTCTGTGGTTGCTGAAGCTTTTGGAGCGGCCTGCTGAAGATGTCTTGCGTAGCTGTGGACTCTCCACCTAAATGTTCATAATGTCCATAATTAAATGCTGGCCAAAGTTAAAAAGTACATTCACTACAATGACATTCCCTTGAGTTCTTAAAGGGACAAAGAAATTAATTGATAAAACAAAAAACAACTTGATCAAAAATCATCTAATTTTTAATCCAGGTGTCATTTAATCAGTCCTATGCTCTCTACTAATGATCTTGCGGCACTCCAAGATTTTAAAGACATTTTGAAACTTTGATACTTTTTAATGCATGTAATATTATTTAACATTAAGCTGTCTGTGGCTCTTTTTCTGCTGTAATATAAATGTCCCCTCTATGGGACTAATAAAGGTATTCTGATTCAACAACAGATCTGTAAATATCCAATACATGCTGGAGTTTTGCTGAATCTCTTTCACTCAGGTCAAACTTTTTAATATACAAAGAAATTGAAAGGAAGTCACTCTAACAATTACATTCGAATAACACTTATGGTTTACAAGTGATTGACTCAATGGAAAATATCAAAACATTATTCAATAAACGCTTCGATGTAATGAGTCGCTTTTCACACAGGGGGGTGCTGTTGGTTTGGTCTCTGCTGTTTATGTCATGAACGTTCAAAAGGCATATTGTAATAGGAGTCATAGCATCAGCATAGGTTTGTTTAGCAGGTCCACACTCTTTTTTACTGCACAGACGTGTCAATATGGAAAGTAGGACACGCAGACAGTGGACAGAAAGGGATTATACAATAGGTTTTGAAATGGCTGTATAATGTCTTCTTCCTCGGTTCACATCTAAAAATACAATGGTCAAAAATATAGGGGGTATAAGGGTTTGATAAACCTGGCCTGACACTAGTTTTTTTTATTTTTATAAATCTTACCGCTTGAAACTTAAATAGTAATATAAACAGTTTCATGCATACAAAGGTGCACTAAATAATTAAGTTTAAGCAGAATGGTTTTTAGCAAGAAGTGAGCATATAGATAGATAAATGAGATCGAGTTATACTGCACAAGTTGATTCTTTTTAAACTGATGTTTTTGATATAGTTTTGTTGTTGTTAAAAGTCGACACCCATTTACTTTAATTCATCAAGGTTTTCACCATTTTTAGATTCTTTGTTTACAGTGAAGACATGAGAGGAAAACAAAGTTCTTTTTTTTAAGAATTCAAAGTAACACACGGGGCGAGTAATTGATATACAATTAGTCATTCTAGGATGAAGTGTTTCTTTAATGTGTTGAAGGAAAGCTGGAAAAGTACCTTGGTCTTGAGAGAGGAGTGGCGAGTGACTGAGTTGAGGATGCTGTGAGCGCTGACAGGTCGTTTGTCTCCGCTCTCTTTCACCAGAGCCCCACCGACAGGGAGGGAAGCGGTTCTCACCCCTCCTCCTCCCCCTCCCCCTCCCCCTCCGCTGGGTCCTGGACTTACTGGACTTCCTGGACTTTCGCTCTCTGAGCCGCGGAACGATCGACGGATGCTGCCGGACTCCGGACGTTTCCTCAACCTGAATGAGACAAATATTTTAGTTCTATTTTTGTATTTACGATGCTCACTGTGGAAAGTCCAAAAACTACAGCAAAAATCTTTAATCATTAGTCATCTAAGATAAGAGATAATACAGGTCTTTAATTATCCCGAAGGAAATTGTTGTGCCAGAGTTACAAAGATACAATAAACAAAGCAGCATAATAATAAAACTGAACACTAACAGTGTAGTAAAAAGAGCAATTAAATAACTAAAGTAACATAGACGGTCAAATAATTCATGTAAAAAACTTCACAGTGACGAGCAATATTGAGAGGTGCAAAAAAACGTAGTGGCAGATACGTAATTGCACATTATTATAGAATAGTTATATAGCACAGAGTGTTTTGTAAAGATCGTCATGGTATTTAGATTGCACAATGCACATAGTGTGGAAGTTCTCAGTTCCCTTTACTGAAGGGTGAGGAGTTATAGAGTTTGGTGGTTTTCGGTGGTCTACAGCTCCGGTAAATAAGAGATCTCATGGTTCTTACTTCCATATGATTTATGAACAGTCTGAGACTCACTTGTTGAGGTTGGCCAGGTAGATGTCGGCCACATGAGCTCCAGTAGGAGAGGCAGCGCTGACTCTGGTGGAAACTCTCTCCTCCAGCAGCTCCTTGCTGTCCATATCAGGCTTTGGACTTCCCCTGCCCCCGTCAGGCCTGAAACAATAGTTTATAATCACTTACTTATGACTCGTATCCAAATGAATAATGAACACTGATTCTTATAAACTCTTTTGTTACTTGTTTTAATTTAAATGAAGGAAGCGGTAACCCAAAGTGAAAAGGCATATTTGTTATCCTGTGTATTAATCAATCAATTGTTGTCTAAAAAGCTAATCTAGATTACTTTTTACTTACTCCCTCTACGTTTGGTAACCATGAACGTTGACAGAAGTGTGTATTTTGTAAATTGTGTAATTTTCCTTTTAATTTGGTATCTTTAATATTTTTAATACATGCTTCTTGGGTAATATTAAGATGTCTTTTGCTCTTTTCTTGCTGTAACAAATGCAAATGTCCCCTCTGTAGGACGAATAAAGGTATTCTGATTCTGATTCTGAATATAATAAATATTACCATCAAACACTTGTAATTACTTTTTGTTACATTCACAAAAAGCCCGTCCTTTTTAAAACCCTTTAGCCATATAAGTGAAAAAAAAATCGGAAAAAAAAGAAAGAAATCTGAAAGAAATCTGAAAGAAATCTTACGTGTCTTGCACCACGATGTACTGATGCGGCACCAGGCCCACCACGCCGTTATGTCGCCCCTCCCACCAGTCGTCAGAGGCCCGCTGGTAGAGAAGCAGAGATGCGCCCTTCTTGAACGACAGCTCCCGACTAGTCCGGCCGGAGTAGTCAAACCGAGCGATGGCTTCGAAGGCGTCCGACTCTGAAACGGCCAAGGAGCCTGAGATTCAGAGAGGGGTGGACAGACACAGGGCGTGGACAGAGAAGCAGGAGGCAGCAACGAATGAAGAGAGGAAAAGAGAGGTGGACGAGAAGGGGAGCCAGATTAGTGCATAGCAGATTAGTACAGCTGTATTTAGTGACCGCACAAATGTTAAAAGTTACAAAGCAGAATAATAAACAAGTTACTGGGAGAAAGATGTGAGCTGGTTTAAACGGTTAGAGCCATAACTGGTAAGCAAAGCAGGATGAGATTTCATAAACTGGTGCAAAAGTAACATTATGTACACAGTAAATAAACTACATGTATTGCACGTATTCCTGTGTGTGTGTGTGTGTGTTACACGCACCATCCTCGCTGTTGCGGCTGACAGAGACGGTCTCAGGCGCAGGCTCTTCCACAAGGGGGGGCTCACAGTGTGGACTATCACTGAGGAGGACACAGACAGCAGACAAGTTAGAAAATACAGAAGTCTCGGATGGACAACATCTGTTGATGACTCACAGTCTGACCTCATACTCCTCTTTATAATCACATAACATCATACGGCATGCACCACACCACTGCTTAGTGTCCAGATTATAGCCAGGTCGCAAACCTCTACACTCCCTGAAAAACATTATTTATTTAAAATGTGCCTTCTTTCTCTGTTTGGATTTTGAATAAGGTCAAAGACAGGATTTTACTGAGGTCCTGAGTCTAAGGCTAAAGGCACTCTTCATTCTCCCACAGAAAGCTGACTTAACATACAAAAATAAAGTTTTCCAATATATGTGAATATATACCGGTATATGCTTTGTAATATTTTCTGTAAATTGTAATTCTATATATAGTCACACTGCCATGGATTTAGAGTTATCAATGTGGAAAGATAAATGTGGTTGTGGATACATTTTATTGTTGTAAAGATACCTGTAAACCATGATGAGTGCAATTAGAATAACTGTACTTGCTTTATTAATTTATCTTGTTGGCTTGAATGTTGACAAATTCTGCTTTAATTAATCAATATTGAGTCTGAAATCAACAAATTAAACACCCACTATATGTCCTTTACATTTGTCAATGTGGACCTTCTCTAACTGGCCTAAATGTCCTAGAAGTACAGTATTGATCACAGGGAGTAAATGCTAGCTATGGTGCAATGAAGCCCTGCCAGTGTTACAGTGTGTTCCTGTCTCCACTCTCTACAGTACAGACTGAGAGCTGCTCCCCCAGCATGACTAACAGCCTGAGCCACCGCACTGACTGGCAGCGATCATGATAACTGGTGCAGAGGCTAGTCATTAGTGTCAAATTGACCCTCGTATGCATTGTGGTGTGTGTGTGTGTGTGTGTGTGTGTGTGTGTGTGTGTGTGTGTGTGTGTGTGTGTGTGTGGTCAGGCGCTCCTAAGCATGCTGTGTGATGGAGGGTAAGCTGATCCCCGGGGCCCCCCCTAGCCCTAAGTGGAGCAGACAAGCTGAGCCCCTCCATCACTCTACGACAGTCCCTAAATCAACCACCTGCCCCCCTCCCTTTTTTCATTTTAACCTTTTAAATGTATATTTTCGATTTGCCTCAGAACATATTTCTACATTTCTACAATACAAACTGTTTGAATTGTTTTCTACATTTGATGAATTTAGTTTTTGACTAGCTTTAATGTTGCCTCTATTCATCTACTCATCTACATGACAAAATATGTATATATGTTCATTTTAATTCATTTCTTATTTAAAAGTTATTTATAATTTTAATGATTTTATCCAAATGTTATTAATCTCTGTGAATCTGTGCTGTCCTGTTTTTCAATCTTACCCTGTTGCTGTTAAACTACTGAATTTCCAAATTCATTATTATCGATGTTTTTATGTATGCTGTATGTTAATCCCAGCTTTAGGTTATCTATTTCAGTTTTTAAACTAGACACACCTTCTTCTACCCTTTTAGTTTTTACCATAATCTGTTTTAAATTAATATACTGTTTTCCTCGCCTCATCATCTCCAACCCCCCTGTAGTTAGACAACACTCGAAGGACACTCCCTGAAGTCCTTAAAGTCTTAGCTATTCAACTTCCTGTCCTCACCAGAAGTCATCTCCAGCTCCAGGGACGATGTAGATGGCGCCCTGCACTTCCTGTGGCCCGGGGAAGATGGTGTCGTGGTGGATGATGATAGTTTTGATGAGCTCGTTGACGTGAGCTTGGCAGGAGACCTGGTCGTTGCCCTCGGGGACGGACATCAGGGTGGGGCCGAAGCAGATGGCCAGGTTGTAGGGGTCCATCATGTTTTCATCGCTGTACTGAGACAGGCTGGGAGGAAAGGGGGGAAAGAGTCATTACCTCACCTTTATTTCTTTAACATATACTATATACAAACCCCACTATGCACACAAACAACCATGACATGTCATCTATAGCCTGCATCTGCCCCCTACTTGTGCGTAAGCTGTGAACATGTTGAATTGCACAAGTTCAAACAGTAAACAGTACCTCAGCCTGCTTCAACATATCACTTCATTTTGAGGCTCTGATGATGTGTGTGTTTCAGTGTATGAGAAGAAGCAGGAGCATTGTGGGGACTGTAAATCACTTGTGGAAAAGAAGAAGCTCCCCTTCTGTCTCTGCTTGGTTTACTCAGGAGTCTCAAATTTCAAATCTCCCACATCAATTTTCTTTTTGTCTTTCACTCCCTCTGCTGCCTCCCTACCACTGAAAGGCTTCGTTGTTGTTTTTCAAAGATGGATTTGATAGTGTGGAATGTATGTCTCCGTTTGTTTGTTTGTTTGTTTGTTTGTTTGGCAAACATTCCAAACATTCTGCATCAAACAAAGTACTACTTTTGGTTTAAAATCTACTAATTACTACAATACAATTTTTATATATATAGCACCTTTCAAAAAAACAAAATGAAAGAAAATCAGGTAATTAGAACAGTCTGAAAGGAAATAAACTACCCAGAAGTCATTTGAACATATTAACTATGACACAAGCCCTTCCATAGCTCCTATTGAATCCACGAATGTCAGACCAGAATGTCTTTGTTTTAATTGGCCGATGCTTTTTCGCAAGGACAAGTTGTTTTCCGTCCTTTTAGAGAGCCTGGGTTTGTGGCTTTTGTGAGCCCATTGAGACTGCAATGTGGTATTGGGATATACAAATACACTTGAGGGAAATTCCTTCAGTAATGAATAGCAGAACAATTTTTTGCACTCAGAACATTTTATCAGGGTCTTTACTTTACCCAAAAAGGTAAAAAGGATGTTTAGATGTTTGTGCAAGAAAGCGAAATGAAGGTCTTTTGTAGTTGTTTATGAAACTAATGAATGTCTGTGTATGGTAATGTGATGAATATTCTGACATTTTTATATACAAAATGGCTATAGATCCCGTGAATATAAACAATAGCTTCTAAAGTATCCATTTAATAAGGAAGCCAAAGCTTGTTTTCTGTGCGTGCGTGTGTGTGTGTGTGTGTGTGTGTGTGTGTGTGTGTGTGTGTGTGTGTGTGTGTGTCCTGCTACTCACTGGTTGAGGAAGGCGAACAGGTATCTCATGATGATGAGGGTTTTGTTCGGCAGAGATTTCAGAACTTTCTTAACGTGGATTGCTCGCTCCTGGAGGCTCTCCATCGCTGGAAAAGAACACAACCACAACACCCAGGAGATTACTCACACAATCAAGCACATAAACACACACTCACACACACACACAGAGAAGAGGAGGAGAGACTTACAGACACAGGATATGATGTCATGGAAGACTTCCTTGGGGAAGAGGGCATGGTCCAGTCCTCTGAAGTAGAGCTTTAGGACGCCAGCGATGGAGTCCATGTCGTGGTCATTCTGGTCGCCTGCCAGCGGGTCCTCACCTATATCCGGACAAGAAGACAGAGGGAGCAGGAAGTGGGGGAGAAAAGATAATAAAAGCACTGTTTGTTGTTAAACGCTCAGGTGTCCTAATGGATGATAGTCTTACCTCTCTCAAATGCATTCTTGATGTCATTGACTTCCACCTGAGAGCCCGACACTCTGAAGATGCCCTCATGCTGCAGACCTACGTAGACATGAAAATATTTTATATTCATTTCACACACATAGGATTGCATTAAATTCAGAACATAACAAAAAAACATGACAGGGTCGGTCAAAAAGCCACAGACTTATAAAACGGACATCCCATCTAAAAAATGATATAAATAATGACAACAAGAAACACAAAATGATCCAAAAAAACAACCAATCCATTAAAAAGCAAAAAAATACAAGAAAAACAATACAGGGGGAAACCAGGGGGAAACAAACAAACAAAGAAAAAGTGTGATTACAATTGCTTTTTTTAAATTTATTAGTATATCGAGCTCTTTGGCCTTTCATATCTTTACTGTAGGATATCTGCTGAGAACTGGCCATATTTCTTTTTGTAAAAAAGGAAGGTGAAGGTAAACAACCCATCTAGTCTTATATGTATCCAGTATTATATAAATACCTTTGGTTATATTATTTGAAGATTTGCAAGTACACATTTGATCTATTGCCAGAGTTTGAAAAGGTTCCCACATTAATTTGATCCAGATCCAATCACACTTCATTTTTCAATGCGACCAATCAGTGCTCATAAAGAAGCTGATGCTAAACCTATCACTTCACTGGAGAGTTTCACTCACCATGGCGACTGATGAAGCGGATGCAGCTCTCCACCATCAGAGGAATGACTTCCCCAGACTCCTGCAACAGGAGGAGAGGAGTTACTCCCCAAAGAGGAACACAGGGGGCCGGTGTGGACATACAACAGTAGACATCTTGTCAGGAGGATTTCCGCACACACGTCTGCACATGCACATGCATCGGTGCACACGTTTATGTGTGTGATTAGGGGAAGGAGGGTTGGCACATTACCCAGCTGTTGCTAGGAGACAGAGCTTTTTCCTTTTACCTTTGTTTGTTTGGGGTTTACTGAGATCTCCGGGAGGTAAGGCTATGGAAGGTGTTTTGGCCGATTTATGTTCCTATTGTTACGGGAATCTCTGTGTGGTTTTAATATCTTTTAAAAAACAGACTTTTATGTGAAATACACAATCATTGATTTGTCTGTTAAGTAAGAGATGAGGGGCCAAAAAAACAAGCTACCCACAAGAGGGAGCCACAAACAAGAGATTCCCCAATGGAGCAGTTGCTTTTGATCGCTCGATGTGTGGTTTCAAAATGCACAACAGTTCACCAACTGCAGTGAAAAATGTATATATATTGAGTTATAATATCTGAGGTTTGGAATAATACTCAAAGTATTGTCAACATCTAGATGCCCGTTCCTGCTGAGGGCAGAGGACACTGTGAGAAACATGTGGCGTGAGTTAATAACAAAGTTACAGCGTCTCTAACTGAGAGCCTGACAGTCGCTCAAAAACAAAGACGCACAGTTATGACAGATAATTAATTACCTGCTTCCGTAGCGCCGAGTTTCTCCGTCCGCTACACAGAGGGGGAGAAAGAAGTGTCACTCTGTCATTATGTCTCCGGAAGACAGTCTATTTATACCCTGCTAACGCTGTATTTGTATACACAGACACATGTGCACATGTGTTGAAAATATCCTTAAAGAGTGACAGGGGAAATAATACCCCTGGCTGCCAAGAAATCTAGCTTAAATGCTGTTACGGTATATGCGTGTGTGTGTGTATATATATATATATATGTGTGTGTGTGTGTGTGTGCATATTTCCTGTCTTTACCACACCTACCTGGCAAGGCAACAGTCACTCTTCTGACCTAAAGAGACAGGAAGAGGGGGAGGGAGAAAGAGAGAAAAATAGTTATAGTAGAAGCAGGACACACAAGGAAACAGCTTCTGATGGACAGAAAACAAACTTCCCGACTGAGGACACACACACACACACACACACACACACACACACACACACACACACACACACACACACACACACACACACACACACAGTTTAGAAGAGGTTATCCTGTAAGGTTGTGGAAATGCCCAGAGGTCCCCCCCTTATACTTAAGACCACAGCTGCTTCCCCATATGGTCACTGTCACTGTGACCTTTACCTCACACACACATTACTTGTGATTATTAAATAAATTAAACCCTCTCTGCTTTCCTGCATGAGGCCTGACGTGTCACATTAGACCACTCATCTCTCTGATCTGCTTCCTATTCCGCCTCAGGGCACCAAGCCTTTCCCTGAATCCATCTCCTCATACTGGGGGGGCCTCCCAGGACACACACTCACACAGGACACATGGACAATGTCTTAAAAGCTATGAAGGACAGTCCCACTCACTCTCTCCCATGGTTTTGTCGATGAGGTCATGCTTGGCCTCCAGCTTGGTGATCAGGCTCCTGCCTTCCAGAAACTCCTTCAGCTTCTACAACACACACACACACACTGGGGTTTTAGGTTATGCTCATCACATATAACAGACATATCCAGGATGGACACAACTAGCACTGACCGTGAAGTAAAACTGCTCCGTCTCCTGCTGATTGGCCCGTCGCTTGGCCAGACTGGGCTTGCTGAGATATGATTCGCTGAAGGTGGATTTGACCGACTCCATGCTGTTGCTGTGGTGGAAGCACTCGGAGACATCGTAGTCCTCCACTGTCACCATGTCTTGGATGGTGGACAGAGTAGCCTCCATGGTTTTCTTCACCTAATGTTTGGTAAGGAAGAGAAGAAGAGATAGAAAGTGAAGGCTGTGATTAACACACACGACAGCTGCTAAGGGGGGAAAGATGAAATATTAATATTAAGCAGGAAGATGTCTGACCTCTTCATTCTCAATCTTGAGTGTGGAGAGGCGGGACTGCAGCTGCTGACACCTCTGGAGCAGCTCGCTTTCCAGAGGCTGCTGGGCACACACCACTCCCCTCTACACACACAAACATAAAGAACACAGATTAAAGAAAGATGGCAAACAACTTGAGATGACAGCATAACAAAAACAATATTTTCACTGTGCAGCCCCAAATCTAAAATACATGTTATAGATTATAAAAGCACATTTCTGTCAGCTTGGTGATGCGATTGGCGGATGCAGAGAGTTCTTTCATGAGACTGCACTGATTATTTTTCGCACCTAGGTCATGATTTCTGTAGAGGGACATTGCTGTTGAGTTTTTCGAATTTATTTTAATTTACTTAACATTAATAGTATTTGTCCCATTATAAAAATATAAAGGCAGACATCTCAATGGCTGATATCTTGCAACTCGCAACAACATTTTTTGTATTGATACATAGCAATACAGATGAAAGGAAAAACATGTATTTTTGATTTTGGGGTGAATTGTCTCTTAGGTCTTCAATCAGAAGTATTTATCCCTAAAGAGAAGACCCTCCTAATAGTGATTCAATGACTACAGCTTTACCGTGTCTCCCATGTGGGACTGGAAGTCGAAGCGAGCGGGGGGGCAGAAGACGTTGTTGTAGGTCTCCATCAGTTTCTGTTTGTCCCCGTTGGCCTCCAGACTCTCTGCAGCCCCCTCCAGTGTCTCCATGCCGGAGTGTTTGGACGTCTCTACGTTCTGTTCTGCAGACAGGTACGTCCTCATGGCTCGGTGCAGGCTGGCATGGTAGCCCAGGTCACAGCACTGTCACACACACACACACACACACACACACACACACACACACACACACAGTACTTTTGACAGTATTGTTGATATATGTGAGCAGAAGCTATGAAGCCCCTGACAGCGTGTGAAGACCAAAACAACGAACAGTCATGATGTTAGTTAGGGCTAGTTTATAAAAGAAACATTGATAATATCTAACAGATAAAATACATAAACATTCAAGGCTAATCAATTGTCATTCTTCAAAATTCTTGATTTTCTAATTAACTGAGATAGAAACTTCACTGATTTAATTGTATAAACTTGGCAAAGCCCTTACCTCTGCAGAGGTGGGGCACTTATTTATTTTAAACAATCTCAATTAGTCTGTTTTGTAGCTTTTTGGCACCTGATTTACATTTTAAGAACAAAATAAATCCCCAATTTGAATGCTAACATTACGTAAACCTTATCGTTAATTTGCCCAAAACACAGACCACAGCTGAGACTAACAGGAATGGTGTTAGCTCATAAACCAAATGACCGCACCAACTGAAAACGTAAAAAATTCAAAATAGATATTTTACGTCAATGTGTAGACGCGTGCTTCCTTCTGTGTGCTATTGTTTGGTAGAACTAGTGGTGCAGCTAAAGATAAAGTCAGGGAATCCACGTAATTTGGCTTCATCCTCTCATAAACATTCATCAAGTCGTTTTTTATGAGATATTTAAATCCTGACTAAAGTGGTGGACAAAACAAACAACAGCTCTCTGCTGGCCAAGTCGCTGGTGTAGCCAGAAATCCTAAATCTTTATAAGATGTAGCCAAATTGTCTGCTTTTTCTCCACATCGTGTCTAAAGTTTGTGTAGTCTTTGAGTTTATTGCTGTAAGCTTATGTTATACCTTTAAAACAACTTTAAACATCCCTGTAAGTAAAAGACTGCTAACCCTAACACTACAACTGCAACACTCTCCCCATTGAGTTGCAAGATACTACAAAACATGAATACAAATCTACATATTATGATTGCAAAGTCAGTGATTTTTCTTACCGTGTAAAGCTCATTAAGAACTTTCATCAGGTCCTCTTGCAGCTGTACGCCGACCTCTTTGCTCTGAAAGGACAGAGAGAAAAAGACAGAATAAAATATCTGCTTCTACCCGGCCATCTCTCTGCCAACTAATGACATCCCTCCCGCTCAGTCATGTGGTCGAACAACTGCCGCATCATCAATCAAGACTAGATTTTCTGGCTAAATGAGAGTGGAGGAGTCTCTAGTCCAGATAGATGAGCAAGGCCGTAATGGACTTGATGGATGTGGACTCTAAGGAGGAAGATACTGATCTTTACACATTGGCAGGGAGGAGAAAAGGTCCCAGACAGAGAAGGCAAAAAGAGGACGGAGCCAAAGACAGAGGGCAAGATGACGAAGTTGCAAAAGATTTTAAAAAACCAGACAAAACAAGGAGGACAGGGAGTAATTCAGGCACTACCATTCTCCAGACATAACTGCCGGGAGCCACTAGTGACTGATGACTTCCCAGCGGCCCACGGATCAGAAGACTACATACACTTACACAAGCGTACATATTCACACTTGGTTTTACAATGACGCAAACACTAGTAAAAATAGAAACTTATCTGCACACACAAATACTGAAACAGAATTGACTTAAAATGACTGCACAGACGTTATAACTGTTTATGAAATCATATTTAAATATTGATTATTCCGACATTTTAACAGGCTAAGTTAAGTCATGAGTAGTACGCAAGCAAATGAAAAGAAACCAGAATACGTTTTCCCTTAGAAAGCTTAATTTTTGTACAATATATTTCCTTTATATGGCTGATACTAGGCCGGGATCAGCAAAGAGAGAAAAAAGGCTAAAAGAATTACAGTGATAGAGCATGGGAGAAAAAATAAGAGCCATCCTTTGTCGTTTAATAGATTATGAGAATGGCAGTAACCAAAACCAATTCTGTGTGTTTTTATTCATGCAACACATTATAAGATGTAGTTTCACATCTTTGTTTTACAATTGTCAAGTTACAGTTATTAATCTTACAAAGTTCAATTTTCAAGATATGATTAAACAAAAACATATCTTAACAAACATAACAAAAACACAAAAGGAGAGTTGTTTGTAGTTGCTTTAACTTGAAAGCAGACAGGTAAGAGAGCAGGGGGTAAAAAAGGGGAAGATAGTGAAGAATATGCACCAAAAAAAGGTTTAGAGGAATGCTGAATGAAAGCAAGAAGAGATTTCTCTAGTGTATGTTGAGCATCTGTCTTCTCTTGGAAGAGGGCACTGGAGGGCGGTGTAATGGGAGTTCAGAGGTGAGCCGGTAAAGAAGAAGGGAAGGGTTGAAAGGTGAAAAGAGTCTCATGAAATATGGTTGGCAAAATGTAGGAAAGTGGAGGGAGAAGAACATGTATGTGAAAAAGAAAAAAACGGAAATGAAGAAGCGTTCTAATAATAATTGTTTAAAGAACATTGTTTGAAGGCCATCTTCCAAACTGCTCTATTAAATACGTGATGTCAATTAAAGAAGGTTAGAAAAATGCACGAGATTTTATTTCAAAGTAGTGCATCCGTTGATTGGATATTGAATACTGTAATAAGTATATGCAAGTGCATTTATATATAGAGGCAGGATTATGGATACAAATAAAACGTAATTTATATTATATTATTATATACATTTGTGAGGATTACAGAATGCAGGAACAGCAGGATGTGAGGAACAGAAGGGTAAAGCAGCAGGGATGAGATGTTAGGGTTGGTCAGCAGAGGAAAGAGGTAACAGGATAACGGAGGTTGTCCCGCCCACTTCTTTAAAGAGTTCTGTGGGAGGATCATAGCTGACAAACAGCCAGACTACAGACTGTCAAAAAGCAATGAGCCCTCCTATCTATCAACCGTGGATCTTGACCTTCCAAATTCTCGTCTTGCCTGTGGTTGTCTGGCTGTCTCGGCATGAATGGCGACAGAAGCTAGCAGCTAGCACGCTCCGTTAGCCGCTGATGTCTGTGTTCCTGTGTACTCGTTAATACAGTTTGACTCATTAATGCTTCCTCGCCTTCAGTGACGAGATCTCTTAAACACTCCCGCTGCGTTAAAAGGATCATTCTGCACTTCTTTCCACACAGGCAGAGATGAACGTGATGACTTCTCTACCGCGGGTGGAGGGGTTCGCCTCCGTGAGTTGTGTGTGCTGTGCGTGTCATGGCCTCTGGCACTACTGGTATTCATGCCACTGACTGGAAATGTTATAAATGAACTAATTATCCACTTAATTAGCCATCAGAGCATTCTCTGTGTGTATGTGTGCAGCCTGTTTATGACCCAGACATGATGAAGGCAACCTCCGTGCCAAAGAACAAGCACAATGAAATACAAATAGAAATCAATGCCTGTGACTCGACCAAGAAAAAATGATTCTGGTGATTTAGATGAGGCTGGAGGTTTGTGTGTGCATTTTCTCATGGCCTGCGCTCACACTGTAACTGTAGTTCAAAGACAACCGGGTTGAACATCAGCACATTCCAGGCAGACTGCTTCATTTTGCCTCTCACACAAACACATACTTATCTATCCAAATCTTGCTGAACTTGAGGCCTGCAACTGATTACAGTCTTTTCTTACACCCCATCCACAGTCCTCCTTACCTTAAAATGAACCCTTAATATTACTTATAATACCTAAATGAGTACTTTTGACATTTTTCAAATAGTCATAAATCTTATTTAAGAAACATACATTTTCCCTTTTACAAATTAAGATGTTTAAGCAAGGGGGCATCATAACACACACTTAATTTAAACTCAACAAAAAGACAATTTTAATGCAATTTGTTTAATTTGTATGTGCGTCAAAACGTTCCAGCTCTACACATGTTTCCCTACTGTCTCGAAGGAAATAAATACATTTTTGCCTGAAATGCTTATCCTTACATTTCAGCTCTAAGCACTGATCCTTTGAAAAGAGAATGAACCAAAATACCTTGACCTTATAAAGATGTCGCACAGAACCAACAAGGATGCATACAAATCAAAACCAGAAAATTAAGTATTTTCACTAAACGGACTTCATATTTGAAATAAGACTCGCTCTGAGACCCTGCTGTTAAAACTACAGTAGATAAGGGGTATAAAGCACATACTGTACATACACGCTTGATTTCTGCAGTGTGGGGCATTAACCCGTGAATCTGGTCTAATGTGTTCAGCCTAGAGGTGAACAACTGTCTCCCTGGGGAAGACTCAGCCTTAGTATTTGCTCTACAAGGTCACAGTGAGCTCCGATCTCCAGAGATATCTCTCTCCCCTCTTTCTGTTCTCCATCTTCCCCTCTCATGTTGACCCCCCCCCCATGGTCCATTTCCCTCAGGTCTCTCTTAGTTCTGTTCTTCCTCTTCACCTCCTTTTTTCTCACCATCACCTTGCCTCATCTCCTTTCTCACAGACTATCCAGGCAAAGATCAGAGGAGACAAGAATGAGGCTACTGTATGAAACACAGACAACATAAACTCTCCTGGCCTGAGGTTCAGCTGAGTTTCTGTCAGTCAATAAATCAGACGAGACAAAACAGATGCTGGAGATGTAGAAGGACAGGGTAAAAAACATGACATGGATTCAGCACATTGGGCTTGAGTCCAACTGTGTGTGTGTGTGTGTGTGTGTGTGTGTGTGTGTGTGTGTGTGTGTGTGCGTGTGTGTGTGTGTGTGTTTGAGTGTTTGTTACCTTCTTAAAGAGGCGTCCTGAGTCCTCGCTGATCTGAGCGAAGCGGGGGATGATGTTGTTGAGGTAGAGGTCGGACAGAGTGGCGTGGTCGCGGCTCTCCCTCTTCACCTGAAGCAGCAGCAGGTTCCAGCAGTTCACAGGGGATAAGATGCTGTGCTCCTTCCTACACACACACACACACAGAGAAACAGGAAGTCTTAAAATGTATTCAAAGCACTCCGAGCATCTTTTTTAGATAAATGACTAACATTAAGATCTTATAATTTCCCCCCTTTCATCATGCTGATAGATGTGCACACAGGCCGGCGGTATGTAATATGTAGAGACACAAATACGCACACACACACACGCACGCGCACGCACACACACACACACACACACACACACACACACACACACACACACACACACACACACACACACACACACACACACACACACACACACCAAAGAGAGGATTCAGTCAGGGTACAAAGCTCAGCAGGAGGAGGTTAGACTCCCCCACAAGCACAGCTGTCACAGAAAGGAAAAAGAGAAGATGAAAAGGAAGCAAAATGAAAGAGACAGATTTAAAGACGAATTATTCCACTAACTGTCTTATAGCTAAACAGTGTTGCATTGTCTTGGCTTCAAGTGGCCATAAAGCCATTGAACAAATGCAACCCTGTCAACAGCCAGCTTGTACAATAACACAACCTCTTTGTGTGTGTGTGTGTGTGTGTGTGTGTGTGTGTGTGTGTGTGTGTGTGTGTGTGTGTGTGTGTGTGTGTGTGTGTGTGCTATGGATGATCCATGGATGATCTAGTGGTTAAAATGGATTATGAGTGAGTGTAAGTGGATGAAAGAAGGTCTTTGTGCCGTTAAGAGCAGCTTTAACGGGATAGACAGCAAAAAGCTGCGAGGCATTTAGATCACACACACACACACACACACACACACACACACACACACACACACACACACACACACACACACACACACACACACACACACACACACACACACACACACACACACACGGGGTCAGGAAAAGTAGAGCAAGTGACCCAAGCATCCACAAGGTCAGACAGACAGAGAAAGTCTTTGACCGAGGGGTATAGAGTGGGGGTTTTGTCTGTGTGTATGTGTGTGTGGGAAAGCAGGGCCTGATGATGACAGTGATGTGATTCGCTGGTACTGGCTGTCGCTGGTCATATGGTCAAATGACTGCGTGTCATAATACAAATGAGTTCAAGAATAATAGGGGGAAAAAGGCACCTACACAATACAAAGCCCAAATAGTGAACTCTCCTTGAATCGTATGCACATTTTGAACAACAGTCATGGGGACACACGCGTGTTTGCCTCAATTTCTGCATCAACTTCTCTCTGCTGTCTGCCTCCTTTCCTGTCTGTCAGTCCTCACCAGTTGCACAACCTTTTTTCCACCCAAATAGCAGGGCCGCAGTTCCTCTATTTACTCAAGAACCTCCATGTGACATGTCACCCTCGGCCCACCAGTGATTGCCATGGTGATGGCACTGCAGCAACAAGGTAAAATATCACCCACTGTAACTCACTGTGACCCCCCGCTGCCAGAAGGTAAACACTTAAATGTCACTGGCCCTCTGAAGGTCACATGATCACATTTTGGGAACAGAGTCCATCCTCAGGTCAGGTGCTGCCGGGGACTCACAGTGAAGGGAAATGCTAAATGTTCTTCTTCGTTCAAGATCAAAAGGCTTAGCATTGCACAGGGCATCACTGCTGGAGGGCTTTTTCTTCAACTGGCGCAAATCTAACAGTTAAGTAAAAATGTGGTATTACTGCTCTTTCGAGGCAGTACCTGTATATACACTTGGTAGTTGAACAAGACTTGAAATGTTTGTCTTTTTAAGCACTGTTTATTGGAGATGTTTTTCTGTGACTGTTGTGAAATAAAAGACTTGAAAATCTGAAATAAACGTTTTCTTTTGCAAGAGCTGGAAAAATATAAAAGTTGTTAAAAGGGATCAAAATGGAATTCAAATATCATAAGTATACTGATATCATGATTTGAGGCCGTTTTAGTTATTCTATTATATCCATTTACTTTTATTTTTACTATGCATACTCAGTTCAGTCATTATATCCACAATATTAATTACATCTTTTTTTAATCTTATTGTGAAAAATATCATTAGCCAACCCTGAAATAGGTGTGGATATTTGGTGGAAAATATTATGATATTTGGTTTCCTCCATATTGCAGAGCCATAGTTTTTAATACTAGCATCAGCTCTTTCTGGGGCATTCAAAATCATATCTTCTTCCTCTTTGCAGGAGTGAAAGCTGTGCTACATTAGTACTGAGCATATTTACAAAACAGATGCATAACAGGACTTTACAGTCCACGTGTGGCCATACAACCATTTGATCTTAAGAATCAAAAAGCAAAACTCACATTGAAGTAATATGTCGCTGTAGCCGGGGGTTCTGAAAGGGGCTGCAGCGTATTAACGGTGAAGCTGGCCTAATATTTAGCATAAGGACAGGCTTTGAATCAGTGTGCGACTTGTGAGGGCTGCTCCATGTGACCAATCAGCCTGTCAGCCTCAGGGCACACACACACAGACACACACACATAAACAGACACACACAAAAACACACAATACGGTTAAACCGTGTAACCCCCCACCAATGCTCTACGCAGTTGGCCAAATAGCCGGAATACCAGGGGTCTCCACGGGATCAACACACACACTAGGGCTGAACGATATGGACAAAATGTCATATCTCGATATTCATGCCAGATATCTCGATATCGATACGATACGATATGACCACGGGTTCGGTGAAAACCAAGCATTTTTCAGAAAAATAAAAACATCATAAAACAAAAGAGTCATACACTCATCATGCAGCACACGGTGGTGTTGTTTCAAGTGGTGAAACATGTTTGTTGTGTTCCCTTTCTTCGTCGCAATTTTCGCCAAGCAAGACCTGCACAACACCTCGCTCTGGTCGACATCCTCCTTTCTAAACCCAAAATACCTCCAAATAATAGAGGAGGATTTATTTTTTGGCACTAAATTAGGTTGTGCACTGCCACCGGCCGCATTATCTTCTGCACTCATGTCTCGTTTCTTCAGTTCTGATTTCCCCGCTGTGAGTATCCTCGTGTGTGTGTGGCTGTGTCCGTCTCCGTCACTCCCAAGTCCCACCCTCCTATGTTTGTCATTGGTTGGGTTCAGCTGTCAATCCACAGCAAGCATGAACTAAGCTTTGTGGTTGGCTGGCCGTAGTGGTGCGTTCAATGGCAATCGGCCAAATGTTTATGGAGACTTCCACAGCTGTACAAGCAGGGCGAGTGCGGGGGAAATACGGATGAGAACTAGCTTTGTAGCTATAATCCGGCATATTTACATTTGTTTTTATACTGATGTTCATTAATGTGCATTGTCCCTATTCAAATAAATATAAAAAAATATATATATATATCGTTTATACCATTGCTTTTTTTATATTGATTTCTTGAATGTTCATATCGAGATATCGATACGATAACGATATATCGTTCAGGCCTCAACACACACACACACACACACACACACACACACACACACACACACACACACACACACACACACACACACACACACACACACACACACACACACACACACACACACACATACACATACACAACCCTCACACCCCACATTGCTTGGAGCAGCATCAACGCCTTGCTGTATGGAGAAACAGCTCAAGCACACACAAACCTACATTGAGACACACAAACCTACACACACACACATAACCGGAAAATAGCTGGAATTCCAGCGTGGCACTCAGACTGAGCAGCAGCAGATGCAGGGAGACTTTTAAATACACAGATGTTGGATGTAGGGAAATGCAAAAAGACAGTGGGACGGAGCAAGGAGAGAAATGAAAAGTTAACACTGAACACGTGTCAGTCAATTAATTGATTTTTTTATTTCCTTATGACATATTTCCAGGTTGAGACATAAAGCAGTGACACTGGCTGACCTGATCAACAACACATTTTATTCTCTGTCCTTTGCCATCCCTTCTATTTTACTCCATTTCCCTCCCCCAATAAGCAACAGAGGGACACACACACACTCTGCAACTGTCTCAGTATTGAACTGAGCTGGAGTTCAGTTCTTTAGTGAACTCCAGCGAGACAGAAAACAGAGGTGTGTTGTTAATGCGTGTGTGTGTGTGTGTGTGTGTGTGTGTGTGTGTGTGTTGGGGGGGTATCTCAGTTGGAATTGGGTTTCGTTTAGAGGCCCTATCGATCCCTTTCAGTCTGTGCCTGCGTGAGAGAGCATGCATGTGGGTTTGCCCCCAGCAGAGATATTAATGTTTCTGGAAAAGTCCACGATGCATAAGAAATGAGAACGACATAAGAGCGGGGGAAAAAGGGGAAGGTGGCTGTAGAGGAGGTCAGGGTGAACAGGAAGCCAGAGAGAGAGAGAAGATGAGCAGTGAACGCTCTGCTAGTGCTTCCTCTACCGCAAAGAGCAACTAAAAACACCTATAACACAGTGAGAAGTGAAATCAAATGCTAAATGAAGAAAGAAAACTTTTTAATAAATGTGGAAACATATCGAGTAATTTATTTTAATGAAAAAGCAATGAAACAAATGCTGTGCCTTCGCAATGTTGCTGCTGCACAATTACTGATTTTCTATTTGTGTTCATTGGTGGATTAATTAACATCAAGGCTTGTTAGCAACAAACAACCAAAATGAAACGTTTTTAATTGCTGTGTACATTAGACAAATAGTAATACATTTGTATGATAATTGTTGTTTTATGCCGGATAAAATGCTTGGACTTGTCTTTTTATACAATACAATTTTATAAAACACACAATAATGTCTGCAGGGACAGAAGCAGAAAACAACCTACTGTTGGACACTAACACTATAAGAGCTTTCTACGGCTATGTGTGTCCTCGTTTATAGGAAAGGGTGTGGATGGAATCTACTGAAAGGGCAACAACCACAAATGTGAAGAGTAAGCTATTACTATAAATGCACAGCTGTTGTACGAATCACAACACATGTGGTGCAGCTAGCAGTGATACACAGTATACGCTTCAATGTAGTATTAATGATACTGCAGTCTGTTTACACTGCTGTAGCGATTACACATCTATTTTCTTACTTGCACCTCCTCAACATTTCAAGTATTAGCTATTTCTACATCACATGCTAAAAGACGGAAGAGAGAGGAGAATGCAAAGAAGCTAAATGTAAAGTATCCTCTGCCTCCATGGTTTATCTCCAATTGGTGTGTGTGGTTTATGATTAGCTAGCAGGTCAGTGAGTCCTGCCCCACGGCGAAACAGACCGCTCCCTCCCACCAAAAGCCGGCAGATAAATTATACAAGAACACACCATGCTGCTAAAGCTGATGAGCTGTAGAATGTGTTTTCAGGGAGTTAGAAAGAGAGAGAAACGGAAAGGAGAGAGAGAGAGAGAGAGAGAGAGAGAGAGAGAGAGAGAGAGAGATCGACCTTCTTAGGTGTGGAGAGAATCCCAGAGTGATGCAATTAGGTATTTTCCAATATGGCCTCCGTTCTCCATCCGTTTCATTTTGTTACCCATCTCTACTTCTCTTTTCTCAGGAAGGAAGTCACTAACCTTAAAGGCGCTTGAACTAAATAACTGAATAAGTTGTTTGTCTTTTCTTTAAATCTTTTCATCTTACTTGGAATCCTAGAATGGGGTGCGAGCGGTCAAAGGTTCTTGAAATTAAGAGTAAAATCATTCGCAACCACAACATGCTCCCCAGTGGGACGGGTCTACAGTATGTGTGTGTGTGAGTTTCCCTTACTTGAGTAGATGGTCCTTGGTGCTGCGGGTCTTGGTGAGGAACCGCTCGGCCAGCTTCTCCAGGTTGCGGCTGTAGTCCACCTCGATCTCAGCCTTCTTCCTGAAGAAGTCCTGCAGGTCCTGCAGCAGCTGCACCCTCAGCTCACACTGCTGGTCCAGACACTTGAGCTGCTCCACCAGCTGGGCGCGGATCTCTGTTGGGGTGATAAAGAGACAGAGATGAGTTAAACGCCTTGGTTAACCTTATTATTCCAACCCCAATCAACACATTCAGGCACTAAGGACGGCATACACAGATATTTGTTTTTTCAAAGGGCTCTTTTCTCAAAAAAATGAAAACTACATGCAATTATCCATACAGCTGGGGATCAAGCTGCTTACATTACTGTTGACAACATAGTGCTATCATTAAGATACATGCCATAACAATGTGTAAGATATCATTTAAAGTCTTAACAGCTGATGTGGATGAAGCCCAGCTCCACTGTAACACCTGGCAGAGCTCTGTCACATCAGCCTGCAGTCTTGGTGGAAATCCAATCCCCTCCTTAAAGGATAGACTGCTGTGCATGTGTGTACATCATCATTTATAAACTTGTGTGTGTGCTTGTGGTCAGCTATCCTCTTCCACACAGAGATCTCCAGAGGCATATATCCCAGCTTATCGCTTTTTATTTTCCCCCCTCCACCATGCTGGTCTTTCAGTCTGGCCTCAAATTAATAGAGTGCACTCAGTGCTGATACATTTGGTAAGTTTATTCAATCACTGGCTGCAAAAAACTCCTCTGGTGAGTCCTGCCCGCTGCAGTTATAGACTAGGACACCAAGCGTCCGCAGCAACATGTGCATACAAACACACACAGTCACATCGTGATGGTGATAAGCTGGATCAGTGCTGACAGCTGACAGATTAATGCTATGCTCTCATAGCTGCCTGCCATTGCTGAGTAGGCTGCACAGGCATCCTTTTAAGAGTTGAAAACACACACACATTAAAATCGCCAGCCTGTGCAACTGTATTATGGCTGATCTGTCAAAGCTGTCCTACCTTTACAACGCTGGCTGTAGAGAAAGCGGAGAGTTTTGGCTTCCATCCTGTCTTCGCTGTAGTATACACACTAATTCAAACACACACACCCATAGACAGGCAGACAGTCATCCGTCCATCCGCCCGGCTGACAGTGACTGTTGATGCTGCCTTTGTGTTTAACAGCTGAGAGAGCAGTTTCTCATTACCACAAAGAGAAGTGGGATATCTAAATGTGTCTGTGACCACCCCGCTCCTCCCCCTGTCTCCCCACTTCTCCCTCCCTCTCTCTCATAAACACAGACCTAAACATTGTGCCACTAGCCAGCGGCTGTGTCCACTCACTCATTCTTTTCTGATTAAAAGGCCACAACAGAGGAGTTTTGTGGCCTTATGGCACTACGAAAACACTCGTAGACGTAACAAATAAATACCCAGTCTGTGCTAATGACCTGGTGTGGATATTTGCTTTAACAACACGTGTTACTGTCTCGTGGTTTGTGTGTGTTTGTATGTAATTGCCTCATTGCAAAGCGCTGTCAATAATGGGAATTGAGTCAGTGTTCCGCCTCTCAAGGCTGCGACATAAAAACCTTCAGAATGGGGCCTTGTAATTAACCCAGCACAAAAAAACACACCACGAGAACAAATGTATAAAATTAAAACAAGACGTGCTCCAATCCATGAGGAGAAAGAAACCATGAGTTTATCAATGGGGGTTCAGCTTGAGGGGTTACAGGAGAAATGGAGAAGAAATATGACTTAAGCGACCCTGATGTTTAATGGTAAAATGATGAAAACAGGGAGGCCACGCACTGTGCCCTGAAGCCCCTCTAAGGCCCCGAAGATTCACGTTAGCATGGAGAGTGGTTCTGGCCGCGCGCTCCATTTATAAAATATATGGCTCACCCCAAAGCTGGCCCTGAGCTCTCCACACCATAACTTGTTGATACTGGCTGTTCAACTGAATTTCCCTGAGGGATCTTAAAAAGGAATCGTTATCCTTCTAGACGCTGTTATCGTCAAACAAGACAGGAGTGTTTGCTGTACCAAGCTCCCCGTCTCTCAGCTAAGAGGGGAGAGATGCCGTCAGAATAAGATCGATGCGGGTCTTTTGGCCTCATCCCTCCTTTAAGGGTCTTCATCCCCTGATCCAGTAAGAAGTGGGATGTGAACTGGAATGAGAAGCCTCCCCCCCCTCTAGACAGCCCAGTCACATTTTCCAGGCAGATGAGAGCAGGTCTTGTAACCATCTCTGGGATTCTACTTTACTGATGCTTTCCTTTCTATTTTTTTCATTCCTTCCTCCTCCTACTCTTCCTCTTCCTCCTCCTCCACTGTCTGTAGCGCTGAGGGCTGTCTGGCTCTGTCTGAGCATTGTCCGTTAACTTTGTTCACCAGTCCCCCCAACATCACAGTCAAAACTCTGCAAAAAGGAGACAGGGCTGAACCATTGAAGCACCTCTTCCTCTCTGTAGGACTTTCATTTCCTTGTACAATCTGTGTTAATGCTCTAAAATCACAGTACACCAACATTCCCATGGTTACTCCATTCTGGGTGGCAAACCATACTAGTCAACATCTGCAGTGTAAAGAAAGTGATCAAGCTGGGAAAGCTTTAAAATAAGACCTGGATCCGCCACCCATTGCATATTTGCTTAGTGTAATGTTACTTCTTCGCTGTATTGACATATATATAAAACAATGTATGGCCATATTCAACAACTCGTATCGTATGTTATATGGATCTCTATTGATTCTCATGGCCTTTTTTCAAGGTCTTTCATTTTTTCCACCTGTTGGTAGGTTTTGGCCCTCAGTGTAGGTGCGGGGGCGGCATCATGTCATTTAGTGTGTGAATGTACACCCTCCATATGTCTGACTCTATCTATGAGCTAACATGTGAGAATGAAATGGCAGAAATCTCTCTCAAACAATTCCTCCAAAATCTGCCTCTCTTCATCATCCATTATTGATCCGTTTGTTTTCTCTGACCCAGAAAAAGGCAGATGAAAAGGGATAGAGATGATGGATGGAGACAGTGTAACCACACTACGATGACATTACCCTCGCTCTCAACGCCTGCTGTTAATTCTGTTGTGTGCAGACATGTTGCTGCATACAAATGTGTGGATAGATCCCCAGAAGTGAACACAACTATAAATGGAA